GTTGATGGTCTTGACTCATCAAAGAAATGCTACATTGAATATAACACCAAGATATTTTAGAAAGGTTTCAAAAAGAGGTGAAACAAGCAAAGGCTCACTTTAGCCCTGATTAGCTGATAATTAAGTGAATCCTCTTTTTATGTCCTTCAGTATGTTGGTTCATTGAGACTTTTTAGCCACAATACAGTGATTTTTTTAAGTAAAAATAAATTGAAGTTATTTTGTATTTTGTCTATTTGTATATTATAGCCAGCAGCAAAAGTAGACCAAGAAACCTTGACTGAAATGGTGAAACCTAGTATTGATTATGTGCGTCACAAAAAATTCCGATCTGGGAATTACCCATCATCCTTAAGCAATGAGATGGACAGATTGGTCCACTGGTGCCATGGTGCCCCCGGGGTCATCCACATGCTCATGCAGGCATACAAGGTCAGTGTTTCTGCTCAACAAGCATCCACGTGCAGTCAGTTTGCAGCATGCAGGGTGTTTAGCTTGATTTTGGTAAGCGTATTTGAGGCTACAAACATTTTAGAATTACTGTTTTTACAAAATAAGTAGAACGTGTCTTTATTTTACTATTCATAACCTCTTTGCAAGGTCTGTGCATGTGTGTGCTTTAACAGAGATTATATTTGTGTGTTAGCAGGGTAATGATTTTCATTCTAATAAGTATTAATGTTGAATAAGGTGGTGGTAGTATTATAGCAAAAATGCTTTGTTGGTGTGACTTTAAGTCCTTTTCTTCGTTGAATGGCTTTTATTGCTGGATTATTACTCAGGAGTATTTCAGTTTGAGTTTAAAATTGTTACAACGTACTTCACAATAAGTTTGGCACTTGGAATTTTACGCAAAGGAGGCATTATAGACAAGGGCACATGATTAATAATATTAATTTCTTACATGGATTAAGATTTATTATTTAAATTAAAAGCACCCACTGGTTTTTTTGCAGTATTATTTTTCTTCTGGTGCATCGTTATTTACAATAGTTAATGATGTGCACTGTTGCTCCATTATAAGTAAAAGCATGCAACTGTAGCCACAACAGTTGTTCTGTTCAACATAGTGTTTCAGTCTCTAGTTTAGAGCAAGAGGTGGAATGAACAGAGCTGAATTCATTGTTGTACCAGAACAGAGCAAAAGAATTAGTACCTGAATCAATTTTCTTTTCCCTTGTGACTAAGCTATATTAAAGGTATTCAGGACAGTTAAGAGATTTAGGGTGATTTTTCCAAAAAAGCCTTGGCCTCCTACAACAGCAATACGACAAATATTAAAATAGTATGAAAGTTAGATGGACCTTCAAGAAAATAACTCAGAAAGTTATGGTATTTGGTGGAAGCAAAACGCCATGGAACATACGCTATGCAATGAAAAGGTCTCAATGATTTACCCTCTTAACAATAACCCAGCTTTTAAATGAAGACATAATTCTGTTCTGACCACTATGTTCCCCTGGTTAGTGCTTCAGAGCAATTGTAACGTCAGTTAAACAGAGACGAGTTCATACAGAATGGATATCTAACAGTAATGTTGGAGCGCACAATTGACCCTATAAATGGGGACCTTTGTAATGAAAATAGATGTGCCGCTTTGGTGCTCCTGCTGACTGAGAGCCTCTGTGTAAGCCATTAAGAGGGAATTGGGGCCCAGCCTCCACTGGAGACCCTTCATCCTGGACATTTCCATTCGTCCTGCTGCCAGGTGGCACAGTTGTTCCCATTCTGCTAGTGACTCTGAGGGAGTAAGCCCAGCAGTGTCCAGCTACTTACAGGGCCACTGATCACAAAGGCACTGCTGCTCTCTGCATGGTGTCTGCTAAGAATCTCATTTAAGCCTCTTCCCTGATCCCTGTCCCACTGATTCCAAAACAGTCTAAAACCCTAGTGCCCAACATGGTAAGTCACGTACTTAGTGCCAGATACATTTGAGAATCTTAGATATAGAGGACAGAATTAAGCTTTCGTCTGCAAGGGACTACTTCAATGAGCGGAGAGTCATCCCCTGATCACCTGACAGGAACCTGTTGCCATCAAGTCAATTCCAACTCCTGGCGACCCCACCTGTGTCCCAGTAGAACTGTAATCTATAGGATTTTCAACAACTCTTGTCTTTCGGACACAGATCGCAGATCTTCTCCTCTTCAGGCCTCTGGGTAGATTCTAACTCTCCACTTTTGGATTAGTAGCTGAGCTCAAATCATTTACAATACTCATGGAACAAAAGTACCAACCCCCTAATCACAAGTTCATTCCAACCCATGGAGAGCCCAGGTGTTTCAGAGTAGAACTGAGCCCCATGAGGTTTTCAATGGCTGTGATTTGGGGGGAAGTAGATTGTCAGGTCTTTCTTCTGAGGTACCTATCGGGTAGATTTGAACTGCCAGCCTTACAGTTAATAGCCAACAACATAACTGTACTCCCCAGGAAACCTTATCTCACAGGAAATCATGAGTACTGGCTGTAAATTCTGGTTGCTTCTAACCATCTTTTTTGAGGCTTAGGACATTAGCTATTTATGTGGGTTAAGTCACTGTCAATAAATGCTAACCTAGATCAAAGAAATTGCATTTAGAGAGGTACATGTGGTGCCCAAGAAAACCATCTAAGATATTTCAAAGTGAACTCAATGTAAGCTTTTACTTCAGACGGAATACGCGGAGCACCTCTACCTGTTGAGCCCACACATCTAATCTAAAACTTCCAGAACCTTTGTCAGGCCCCCTGGTGGCTAACTCTTGGCTATATGTCCAAAATGGCTTCATATAAATTATGTTCCAAAGACGTATTTGAAACATGGAATGTCTAATTGGGAAGGAGGATGTCCATAAATATACCACACTTTATCTGGTCTCTTGGTAATGGACATATCGATTGCATCTAGGTTCCCTACCATGAGTAAGCTGTTGTGACAAATCTTTTACCGGTTTTTATAGACGTGTGTTTTCATTTCTCTTGGAGGAAGGCGTGTCTAGGATTGAATTGCTGAATCATATAATAGGTATTATATTTAGCCTTTTGAAAAACTGTAGACCTTTTTGGGTTTTACATATCTACACTAATGTAAGAAAGTTCCAATTGCTCCAAATCCTTGCCAACACTTAGTTTTTTCATTTTAGTGATTATGGTTTTACTGTATATTTTCCTGACGATTCATGATGTTAAGCAGTTTGCCTGGCACCCCTTGTCTGTCTCTGTATAGATTCCTTTATAAAGTGTCAATTCAAATGGTTTCTGACATTACTTTTTTTTTCCTTTTTATTATTGAGTTATAAGAGCTTTCTTGATAGTCTGGTTACAAGTCTTTTCTCGGGTATATGTTTTGAAAATATTTTCCTGAGTCTATGGCCTGCCTAGTTGTATTCATTATGATGTTTCTGATGAACAGAAATTTAAAATTTTGAAACCATCTATTTTATCAGTGTTCTATCATAATTAATTTCTGTGTCTTCTCTGAGAAAGTTTTCACGTCCCCATTTTATGCAGGTACTCTCCTATTGTTTTCTTCTAGAAACCACATGGTTTAGGCTTTATATGTAGCTCTGTAATAAATCTTAAACTATGTTTCGTATGTTATGTGAGGTAGGGAATAAGGGTTGTTTGTTTCCTACCCATATGGACATCTGATTGTTCACACATCATTTGCTAAGGAGACTTTTATTTCTCTTATCGGATTGTTTGTTTGTTTTCATCTTCGGTGCCACTGCATGTTTCCTATGGAACTTTGTAGATGTTGGTAAACAGCTCTCTGGCACTGCTTGCTTTTCCCGGCCCAGGTGTTTAAGGAGGAGAAGTACTTGAAGGATGCCATGGAGTGCAGCGATGTGATCTGGCAGCGAGGGTTGCTGCGGAAGGGCTATGGGCTCTGCCATGGGTCAGCTGGAAATGGCTACTCCTTCCTGTCCCTGTACCATCTCACACAGGACAAGAAACACCTTTACCGAGCTTGCAAGGTAGGGCATCTCTTACTGAATAACGTCTGAGCAGCCCCAGCCCACAAGTAGAACTCCCTTTTCCTCCTTTTAGCCTGGTTCCCCCAACTTGTCCCTTTCTTCCTGGCCCAGCCATGCCCTTGCCCGCCCTCTGCCACAGTGCTGCTATAAAACGGGCAGGGCACGCATACCTACCTCGTCAGGTCATTGAGGAAGGGTAGGCGACTTCCAAAGAACCTAAGCTCTGGAGTGGCCTGTCCTCAGAATGTCTTTCTCGTTGACCACATGAAGTCCAACTCCGTCTCACAAGTGTCTCTCTCCTCAGTTTGCAGAGTGGTGTCTAGATTACGGAGCACACGGGTGCCGCATTCCTGACAGACCGTATTCTCTGTTTGAAGGTAAGAGGGGGGAATAAGACCATAAGTTCAAACACTCGGGTGAGAGAAATTGGCCCTTCAGTTCCTCTGTGAATTAGTATTATTAAACTTGATCATGTTTGAATAATATCTCCAAAACTAAAAAATAATTGTTGACACATTAATTTATTGCTGAAAATTATCTTTAATCTCTTTACCTTAATTTTTACTTCTATAATAATTTTCCATGTATGAAGGAATGTATGAATATATATGTAGACAAAACTTAAAATGCTATTTAGTTGTGGAAGAAATAAACTTACTCCTCTGCATTTTTCTTTCATATTGTGTACATAATATTTATCCATTCCCAGGAAGCCTGAATAATTATTTAAGTACATTTATTTAAACTATATAGAGAAGTATGAGTAATATTAGCAGTTAGAAAGAATTTGAAATTAGAAAAATGAAAAGAAAGAGGATTGAAGAAATCTTTGGAGAAAGAAACAATAGTGATAGGAAATGAGGAAAAGCAACAAAAATTAAAAAGTCTGAGGTACTAAAAGTAGAATATAATTCAGGAAACTGAAGTGGAAATCCTAAAAGAAAACTAAATTTAAAATCCTATAAGAAAACCCAAATATACAAGGATAAGTAAAACATAAAAGCTGCTATAAAATCCAGGGAAAGCTAGATGCTAATAACCTTCAGGAGGAGACTGGAGGAACAAACTGTGATCTCCCCTCACCAGTAAAGACCCAGCTACCAACCCCCACACACCACGAGTCTGCCTCAGAGACGTGTGCTAAGTGCGAAGAGGCAGCATGGCCAGACTCTACTTATACGTCAGGCAAGGAATCTTCCGTGGCAGAAAATCGGAGAGTGGTTGCTACCGAGGGTTGAGGAGATCGGAATTAATTGCGTAGGGACACGAAAAGGACTATCCTGGTCTGATAGAGCATTCTGTATCTGATAGGAGTTTAGGGATTTGGGAAAGAACACAAGATTTACGGACTTTATTATATGTAAATTCTAGTTCAAAAGAAAAGCTGTAAATAAAGGAAACCTCTGTAAGAAGGAACTATTCTAATTTAAAAGGGATTAGGAAGCCAGGAACCCTACTCTCCGTGGAGTAGAGGTTAAGCCCACAGCTTGAGTGCGACTAGGATCCAGGGTGGGCACTTCCCGGAAGTGAAATGTGTTCCTATGAAAATAGTGGTCTCTGCACCTCGAAGCCCAAAGCAAACTTACTGCCATCAAGCCAATCGCGTCTGCCTCATACCGACCATGTAGGACAGAGTAGAACTGTCCTCTAGGGTAGCCAACACTACAAATATGTTTTTAATAACAATTTTCTGTTGTAACATAGGTGGGATTTACATTACAGATTATCAACTGTGTATTCAACAGCTTAAACTACTGATCAACTCGGCCCGACCCTCCCCCCTCACCAGTAGTTTACCTGTCATCTAATCTTCGATTTCTCCTCTCTGTCTGTGGACTATCTTCCATGTCACCCACTTAGCACCCATCAACAGTTTAGCACATTGCTTCGTCTTCCTGCGTTCTCGTGTCCTCCTTCTCCCCTTGAAGACTGTACATCTTCAAAGGGGTAGATAGCTTCATCTTTTTCCTGTAGCATCGAACCACCAACCTTGCTGTTATCAGTCCAATGTTTAACACACCGTGCCACCAGCAATCCTTTGGCTATAAAAAAGATAGAATACACAACTTTTTGTTTGGCTACAAAGACTCTGAAGAAGGGAAATTTTATATTTTGAAATATTGACATCTACAACTTGTTCTGTTAGAGATTCTTTGAGAATCATCTTAAAGTTTCAAGATTCACAATTAAATTCCAAAAGCAATTGTTAAAATTTTTTTTGTAATTTTAAAGAGAGAGGGAGAAGAAAGGTGGTTTTATTGCCTGCTAAATGCTAGCCTAAGGATTTCTAATGTGGGAAATTTTATTTTTAAAATAAAGTCATTTTTGAAAGGCCTTAGCTCCTTTCTCTTCTTACAGCCTCTTCTTATACTCCCTGGTAGTACTAGAAGTAGTGCTGGAGGGTGAGCAGTTCAAGGTCACCAGGCCCTCCTCAGAAGAAAGATGAGACTGCTACCTCAGAAATGTACAGGCTGAGAAGCTGTGTGTAGGGTCGCTGTGAAATCCGAAGTGACTCTATGCAGTGGTTTTATAGCCTCTGGCACGGAGGGCATTCCAGGTACCTTTTAGTAAAAGGGTCCTTTTGACATTGCAGGCATGGCGGGGGCCATCCACTTCCTCTCCGATGTCCTGGGACCAGAGACATCGCAGTTTCCAGCTTTTGAACTTGGCTCTTCACAGACGGACAAAAAGGTGCAAAAAGACAACTAAAATACCCAGTTGGACCAAAATCTAACAGATTGCTGAGTGCCTGACACAGACCAACTACGAATCCTGAGAGAGGACAACAAAGCACCTTCACAGCCCCGTGTTCCAAAGACCTTGCAGTTAGAGCATGAGTGGAGAAGCCCTCTGTTGCCGTGGTGTAGCACCATCTGCCTCACTGGTGTAAAATATGAATTCTTCACAGCGTTTGCGTGCTTCTTGGTACTGTCTGTGGGGACACGTTGTTCGAACCAGAAAGCCCTTCTCTCCCTTTCCGTGAGTCCAGAGCCAGCCATGCATGAGTGTCCGGCAGTCGTTCTTGTGTCCATAGCCTATAAACAGGGAGCAGTCAGGCGATGGCCTCCTCTTGTCTACCAGAGAGATTGATTACAGAGAGGTAGCCTCGGGACCACACTTTTCAACATTTTCCATAGGCACCGCCCCAGAAATGGAGAAGAAACTGAACAGGGACGAGGACACTTGGCTGCTTTGAGGAAGTAAGCCCTTCCACAAGGGAACTGAGCACCCCCTGTCTTTCTAAGAACCCAGCGGGGATCCTTTGCAGGTCTGTGAGGGCTCCCCATTTGCAACAGACGTTCTAGGCACTTGGTGTAAATCTGAAGACTAGTTTGCAGTCTAAGGCAGTCCGTGTCCTTGCAAAGGGACTTGAGGAAGTCGAGTGAAACTTGGTAATGGCCTCCTCTATCCCGTAGCAAGGACTAAGCATTGACAGTTCTAGAACATTTTCTCAGGAATGTCTGATTAAAACATACTTCAGCTTAGTTATCAACAGTATTACCGAAACAAAGGGTATAATGTCAGATAATAACAGAAAGATCATAAACTAGATTAATCTCTCTGCAATTTATTTACCAAATTTTTGAAATAAGTTTATCAAACTATGAATTTGGGATAGGTAGTTGTTTTTTATCCCTGTTTGGATAAGAAAAATCTTACATTTTATGAACTGTACTAGTATAAAGCACCATTCTGCATTTGTACATATGGGAAGCAATATTCTAGTCAAGAAAATGATATTATTATTTCACATTTTATATTAAAACATAGGGACAATTATTTGTATTACCATATGCTCAGTAATTCTGTCATGAAAATTTCAATCTTTAGTAGGGTTTTTGTTACCATGGTACCACTTAAGTAGTCTAGGGCTTTTAAGAATTTCTCAAGTTGCAAACTCAGGCCTGGGTCATAAAAGGGAAAATGGGAATTTCTGATGCCTACAGGGTACTGACTAAACATTTTATCAGCCCCTGTTTCTACTCTTACCATAAAGGAGAAATGAGAATGTTGCTCTATGCCTTGTGTACCTCTTAGGGTATGTGAACATTGGTTTCTAAATGGTGCCTCTCTATAGTGTAGACATTCTTGTCTAAGCCATGGTTGGCCTCTTCAGGTAGACTGATGACTTTTAGGGTAATTGGTCCTTCTGTGTTTTAACTGGCCTCCTGGGTTTGATGATGGGCTTTCCACGGGGGTCACAGGAACCCCATTTTGGGGTCTGGGCTTTCAGGAATGAGCTAAGGGGAACTGTTTGCAGAAGACTTCCCACAATATCTAAAATCTCCTATCATCCTGAAAACACTGTCCTCCTCAAAAAGAGCTCAAAATAACAAATGACAGAGCTTATCACCCTCACCAACAGCAACCATTACGGCTTTACCGGAAGCTGTTGTCAGAGCTTTCCCGTTGCTCAGAGGGCTCCCATGGGAGAACACCTCCTCCCCAAGAGAACCTTCTAGTCAGAAGCTGTACCTCACAGAAGCCAGCTCTGGCCAAGCAGCTCCAGACCAGCAGGCAGTGTTCAGCTACCTTGGCTTCTGGCCAGGTGTCTTTCCTAACCTTGTTTGAAAAGCACTTACTAGGCTTCTGGACCAGTATTCTGAGTACTTGTCGGATAAGTGCGTCCCCAAAAGTTGTTCCAGAGAGCTGAGCGTCTCTTAAAGGAGACTTTATTTACAAAGTTTGTAAAGTGGTCCTTGGGTTACACCTTGCCCTCAGATGTTCAGTCCTTCACTTCCACATTGACCCACCTGTCTGTTCCCTGGGCTTTTGATGGACAGTACTTACAGCTCTTGGAGCACTTAAAGCTCATAACAGTACTTAAAACTCTCATTCAAGGCAGTGCTTAAAGTGAAAAGTCAGGCTGTTCTCCTCCGGAGGTTGGAGGGGAACAGCAAGGACAGAGGACAGAGAATTTACAGATTTCAGTGTATTCATAAGAACGTGCTTGAGTTCCGATTGTGAACAGCCCACCTTCCTTTCTCAGACGCCGCTCCTGTCTAACCACACCGTGTCCTCCAGAATAGGTCTAAGCACTAAAAAGATGAACATGCATAATAACAGTTTACAATTTGGAGGAAAAAAGATTGATGTCCACAAAGAAGTGTTTGGGGTTCTTTGATTTTGTTAGTAAAAGATCGTTTTGTGGTGATTCACTTGTGGGGTCTTCTTTTGTTCTCAGTCTCTGCATTTGAGCGATGCAGTCCCGTGAGTTGTAGTCACGCTTCTGAGGATTTCATTCTCCGCTTGAAAATGTGGCTGTTGTTGTATTAGGTAACATTAGAATTATACCTGAAGGTTTCTTCACACGTGGTTCTGATTATGTGTTTCTTATTATACCAGTGAAATGCTCTGATACCTGGATTATAATGTTTTGTTTTTTAAGTTACCGTTGAGTTATGTCAAACAAAATAGCAGAGTCTGATTGAAGTTACAAGTGAAGAGATTTTATTGAGAAGCAAGACAATTTTCTTTTCTTTTTTGAGATTGGAACAGAAGGAGTGAGTTTATTGATGGGGGGCAGTGTGGAACAGAAGTCCAAAGGGGGCTTACGCAAAAAACTCACTGCCACTAAGTCAGTTCCGTCGTGTCCCCATAGGGCAAAGTAAGCCTGCCCTGCTGTGTCCTGAGACTATAACTTTTTTCTAAAAATTATTTTATTGGGAGCTCTTACAAATATCATAGCATTCCATAATTCAAATAGATCATGCATAGTTGTTTAGAAACGGGTTGTAGTAGCAATGGTACATTTTTTTACTTCTTGGAACTCTTTGATATCAGCTCCCTTTAATCCCCTCCCTCCCCCACTCTTCCCCCTAGGAACCCTTATTACTATTGTTGTATATTGTTATTGCTCTTTTATTATTATTGTTATTATTTAATCATATCTTATCACATACATTATATACATTCACCTACAATTCTGTTATTTGCTCCCCTCGAAAGGGGTTATACAGTCACCATTGCTATCAGCTTCCTCCCCCCACTCTCCTACCTTCTGTATCCTCAGGGAATCCTTATGAGCATATGTAGGTCTAACAATATTAATGAGGTAAGATATAAACCTTAACAGCAGGGGGAGGAAATATTAAAGACCCAGAGGATAAGTATGTGCCTCATCAGTACCACACCACACCCTGGATTCCTCATCCCCTCAACAAGGCCCTTCTGTGAGCGATTGTCCAATTGTTTTACAGGTGGGTTTGGGGTCTCTACTTTGTCCATACTCTGTCACATCAATTTGATTGCTTGTTTTTGAACTTCTGATACCTAGTCCCATCAGCACCTCATGATCACACAGGCTAGTGTGCTTTTTCCATGTGGCTCTGTTGCTTCCCTGCTAGATGACTACTTGTTTTAACTACAAGCCTTTAAGACCCCAAATGCTATGTCTTTTGATAGCTGGACACCATCAGCTCTCTTCACCACATTTGCTTATGCACCCATTTTGCTTCAGTGCTCATGTCGGAAGGTGAGTATCATACTGAAGCAAGGCAATTTTTGAGTTGGGAATCATGAAGTCCAGGGGATTCTGAACGAAGTGATCTGAGGAGAAGACCATCCCAGGAGTTTTTATAAGAAAATGCAAAGTTTTAATAAAAATTGAGCGATTTATTGACAGTTAGATAATGGTTATAAAATTTGGTGCACCTGGTCTCAAAACAAAGCACCCTCCTTGGTTGACTGCAGGGAGGACATGCTTAGTTCCAGGGTTTATCTTGAGTAAGCATCTCTTCTGAGAATTGTTTTGAGCCACAGTTTCCTGAACAAGATGTCTCCTTAAACAAGCAGAACTCTTAAGGAAACATAATCACATTCTTCTAGAAAATTATTTACTAAGAAATTTTATCCGCGGAATCACAAAAATGACAGTTTGCATGTCTTTGTACAGAAGTTGCTTTTAATTAAAATTGGAGTTTTTAGACTCACATCTTAGCTCAGCCACACATCATGGTGGGAACCCTAGGTTAATGTGGAATGCCCTTGGTGAGATTCTGACTCACGGTGATATGTGTGTGTCAGAGTAGAGCTAGGGTCCACAGAATGTTCAAGGCAGTGACCTTTTGGAAGCAGATCACCAGGCTTTTATTCTGAGGTACCTAATGCCTTGGATCTACCTGCCACCTTTTTAGTGTGTAGTCAAGGACTTAACCATCATGCCACTCAGAGACTCCAATTATATTACAAAAGGCTGGCACCTTGAGCTAGAATTACGTGCCAGGTTGTGAACATTGACCATCTCCTGTAGTCTTCCGAAAGCCTGCACATACCACAGTGTGTAGAGGCTAGGGGCAGACAGTTCTGTACAGCGTTCTGTACAGCGTTCATACTTCTAGGTTGCACACAATGATCCCTGCACGCACAACAGAGTACATGGGGAGCTGAAACCTAGACGAGGATCAGTGACTGGGTCTTGAGCCCTGGACTCGGAGATGGGCAGGAGTGCACGCACAGCATGTTTCCTCTGTTCCCGTTCACACTACTGCCCACTGCCGTCTTGGTTGGAAGTCACAACCACCATTCAAGGCACTTTTACGCCATTTTGAACTCTGAGGCGATTCCACATCTAGTGTTTTGTTGGTTAAATTTACTAAAGCCATGATCCAAATGTAAAGTTCAGGGGCCCTATAACACTTACAACCACTTAATTGTAGGCCCCTCACTGCCTCTTCTAGGCCTTTCCTCCAAAGGGCCTCCCAGCCTGGCAAGAAGCTGGGCATGTAGAAATGGAGCCATGGGTGGTCTTCAGAAGGCTCTGATGCCATCAGATTTTTGTGCACAAAAATATGGTTATTGATCTAGAGACAGGGCATCTCACTTCATCAGCGTGTCAAGTGGTCTATGATCCAGAAAGGTAAAATATTAAGTTTGGGAGTAGCAAGTAATGGAAACTGAACATCCAGGTGGGGAACAAGGCATACTGAGGAAGGTGCTCATGGCAAGAAGGCCTGGCGCAGGAGACACCGGACTCGGGATGTCCTCTCCCAGCCAAGAAGAGCTATTCCTGCAGGTCTCAATGTTTCCACATCAGCACTTCTCAAGATCTAGACTGTTCTCGGTTGCCATCCCAGAGGCCCGTGGCTGCGCCTTGGTACACAGCTGCTAGAGAGGGAGGACACGAGAAGAGTAGGCATCCCGACTACACAACCGTGCAGCTACCTGTGTGATCTGCCAGTGACCCCCTCCACCTCAGAATGAGAGCAGAGGTTCTTCTAAGGTCCAGGCTGAAGAAGACTTTGGTTCCTGAAGTTAGCTCACCAGAGGAAAGTGGTGACTTAAGGTGACTGGGGATATCACAAAACCTAGCCGTCGTCATCTTTGCAAATATCCTTGCCCCATATCCCTCTCCCACGTGGACGTGGAAGGCCTGACTCATTCATTCAACAAATGAATGAGCATCCATTGAATACCTGGCATTGTACAAAGTGTTGAGAGTGAAATGGTCTAAAAAAAAAAACCAAAACACCTCATGGAGTCCCCCTCCTGCAGCTCAGTTGTACACTGGGTGCAGCGGCATAAGTAAGTAGTCTCGGCCCAGACTCCCAGCGGCAGTCCCTCCCCTGGCAGAGTCCCAGGGGCAGCAAACCTCCTGGTAGGCAGGAGGAGGCTGCAAGATAAGTGTTGTCAGGTCATAGTCATATATCCTTCAGGTATGATCATGAAGCATTGCTAGTGGATGTTTAAACAGCTTTAACCTGGTACCAAACCGTATTTAACCTGGTGTCAAAAATGAAGACTGCTTGAGATCAGGACCTCATTTCCTTGAAACAGATTGCTAAACAAAACCCCTTCAAGTTTTCTGGGAAATTTTAGACCAGGCTGGCTCCAAGCTTCCTTCAAACAATTCTCTTTATTACATCCTTTTAAACAGTTTCCTATTGGAGGACACAATGAGAGGACAAACACTTCATACTGGACAACTGGGAATCAGCTGTAATATCCCTAATAAGGGAGAGGCTGTGCATATTCTACCCAAGAAGGAAAATCCTGCTATCCTGGACCCTCCTGAGCTGCCCCCTGCCCCAGCTCCTCCAGTTCCCTGGAGCAGGAGGAGGGGCCCTGTCATCCCAAGAGTTCTGCTTCCTCTCTGCCACTGAGGTCCATTTTTTGAGATTTTGTATGCCTGAAAGATATCTTTATTTTACTCTGGAATTTACTTCATTGTTTGGCTATTTATAGAATTCTGGGTTGAAAATGGCTTCTTACTGACAGTAGAAGGTATTATTACTCTGCTGTTCAACTTCTGTCTTGTTGTCTTTGAGAAATCGATAGCCACTGTGATTCATGTTTCTTTGAACGCTTTGTATGTGGTGACTCTGACAGTTGTAGGATAGTGTTTCCTCCCCTCTTGTGATGCTGGACCTAACCTGGATTCCCAGTGGGACCTTTGGAAACATGTGTCTTTTCACTCTAGTAAATTTTCTTCAGTGATTTCTTTTAATGATTTCCTTCCATCTCTTTAAGGGACATCTATTATTTGGATATTAACTCTCAGTATGGTGCCCACTTTTCTTTTTTTTTACCCCTTTGCTTTTTGTTTCATTTTGCTTTGCTTTCTAAGAGATTTCAACTTTACTTTCAAATCCTATTGTTTCATTTGTTTTTCTTTTTTTCAATTTTCTAAGGCACGTGGCAGAGTTTATCTTTTTAAAAATCTGTTCTTACTTCTTGGTTGTAATATCTTATTTATCGATGAATGTTAAGTTCCTATTCTGGAATTTGAGATTGAGTTGGACCTAGGGCTACGCTGGGGGTGGGGGTGGGGGGATAGCTGATTCCTAGAGAAGAGAAACCTTTAGCTCTTTGATTTCCTGCCTTATTAAAACAGGCCATTTCTACATCCTCTTTTCTCGCCACTTAGGATCCATCAGTGAACAAGGTCTGGTAGAAAGTGATAAGCAATGGAGACAAGGCAGCGACTGTCAGAGGAAGGGATACGGATAGTGGTAGAGGATGTAGATGATTATTTTAAACCGGATGAACAAGTTACAACTAGAGATGACATTTGAGCCAAGACTAGAAGAAAGTGAGGGAGTTAGCCAAATAAATATGTTTTGAAAATTCATCTCAAACAGGATATTACTCCTGAAGGAACAAAGTTCTTATATTCAAGGAAAGATAGGGGAGCCAGTGCGAAGAGGAGAGGAGTAT